AGCTTTTATCACTTCCATAACTGATGTTTGAGTTCTATACCGACTTGCAGTGGGTCAGGTAGAGACACCAAATACAAAGGAACCCTAAACTACAGCAGCTCCTTTAGTGCTTCTAACAATTGGTAACTAATTTTTGTCAGTCAAAAGCAGTCTTACTACTTTTAACTGCATCAGGTACTTCTGGCTAAGCATGCATTCCCATCCAAGTCTGTGGCACTGTGATCGCTCTTATGGCCTTCTAGTTTCAGTCTTTTCCTCTTGTTGCTTTCCTTATAAAGAAAAATAACCACCCTGCATTTAATGGGCACAGTCTTTGGGGCAACCTTTGACTATAGAATATCTAGGTCGTCTTGAGCTATGTTCTTTGCTTCTTTTCTCTCTTACGATTTCTGTATTCCTTGTGGAATGACAGCCTCACTGTTCTGTAAAAATGGGTTAGAGTAGATGGACACAGTATTTAAAATAAAGCCTTCCCTTGGTTCTGCTGAGCTGGTGCAACCTGTACACTTTTCTTCTGCTTGTGAGAACTACAAATCATTGCAGCTGTACTGGTTTGGCCAGTTCTGATACACCCCATGGTAGTGTACTGCGTTACTTTGCTTTGAATTTGGGAATACTCCAAATTCTTTACTCTGTGGTAGTCCTTGGTTGTTTCCTGTGAAGTTCCAAAACTAACTGAGGCAGCTGCTTTTCAAGTTTGCTTTAACACGTATATGCTTTAAATACTTCTGCCTAAAAACAAGGCTGCCTTCTGAACATCAGTTGTTGAAAGAATAATTGAGGCAAATATTTAATGCAGTCTTTGTCTTGCAAAAGTTACGTAGGTTAGACACACCTTGTGGCAGGTAGCAAGAGGACTGTAATATAACATGATACCATCTTGGAGTGTATTACGTGAGTTTTGTCTGACATGAGCATGACTTTGGTTTTGGATGGTAAATCCATCTTTTTGAGCTGCTTGAAGTAAAACTCATGTGCCTCAGAAGATTGTCCTGTAAAGAAACTTTTAACCGTGGGTTGTGAAATTTACTCTTAAGAAATTACTTTATTACAGTATATTTTATTATCCTGATGCTTCTTTGATCTTAATACGTTTTGGTGACACTCAGTCACTTGGGTTTTACGTTGAAAATGTGGTGCCAGATCTTTACCCTAGCAACAGCAGCAAATTACTTTGTAGATGGTGGTCACTTGGAAATTTTTGGTTCACACAGGCAAACAATAAAAAACACCTATATCTGCAAATCCTTTTAATGCACAGTATGTGGTGTTTTGCTTTCTCTGACATAAACTCATTCCACCTGCCAACAATATTTAATCTAATTGCAGAGTTCTGTTTAATTGGCATGGTGTGACTTGATGCAAGATAATTGTATTTCTTTTTGTGTGCAGGGATGCAAATGTTGCCCAATATAAGCAGGACTGTGTGAGAAAGCAGATGATCATGAAAACTGAAATGGCAGGCAAATGCAGTGTCTTATTCTGGACAAGCTGAGCAACTTCTTTGCATAGAGGTGCAACAGTTTAATGGCAAGAGGATTGCAGAATGTCTGCATGTAACCAACATGCTAGAGCAAGCTGTTTCCTACAAGAACCACTCATCAGCAGCAAAAGCAGTAAAACTGTCAGATGCCAGATAGTAAAAGTGGGAGCATCTCAGGGGACCGATCAGACCTGCTCTTGCATGGTTCTAGCCTTATTGGAGTTTGTCTTCTTTCCACATGGCATTCACTGCAGAAATTCCCTGTATTATTTTTTTTTTTAGTCCCTGAGTGCTTAGCCCTCAGCTTGCCTGACCAGCTGGCCTCAACTGAAGTCAGCAGAGTGGTAGACACTCGGGTGTCCTGAGCTGGGTGTCTCGAATGCTGCAGCTGGGGCCCCGTGGTCTCACAGGAGCATGCACACACTCCCTGGTCGTCCACTGCATGACTTCTGCTCTTCCAGACTGCAGGACACCTTGTGTGGCTTTGGTGTTTGTCACCACATGCACTCCCGAAGGTCTGCTTCAAAGATTTTCACCTAAAAAAAAAATTATTTTCAGTGGTGGCAGAGGCATTGTGAAAATGTGGGCGGGATGATATATTCTCTGCATGTTAGACGTTGGGTGAGAAGCAGTGAACGTTGCCTGCTGAGTAGTAGTACATTTAGATGAGATGAATTGCTTGTCATCAGACCATCAGCTCTTTCATATGAGGCCTCCTATATCCTAAGACATTTCTAGCTTCCTCCTTACGATACGTGTAAGTAAATGATACTTTCTTCAGGCTGTTTCAGTTATGGAAAGACTGAGCAAGGATTGCCTTCCTTTCTTGTAGTCGATGTCTGACCAGTTTCTCTGCATTAGTAATACTGAGTTTTGCCATGTGAAGGTTCCAGTAATTGAAAATTAAATTTCTGTAATTCTTGAGTTGATCAGAATTGTGGATTTTGTGTGCTTTAAAAAATAATAATAAAAAAAGGATGGCTGCAGAAAACACAAATGAACAAGTTTCCTGTTATCTTGAGGTTTTTGAAGCCTGTAGTATACAGATGATTTTTCCAAGATGCTTTATTTGGAAACATTTTATTGGTAATGGACATAGCCCATTATGCTGTGGTTTAGAATAATGACAGCTGGTTCTGTGGGTAGGTGCTGAGTCATTCAGATGTACGAGGTTGGGTGGATATACAGGTGTATGCTTTCAAGTTAAATACATCTCTCTTTTTAAAATGAATAAAACTATATTTGCATTAGGCACTAGTGTTTCTGGCTTGATTTACTCTTATGCACTCTGATAAAGTCACTTAAAATCAGGTACTCTGCCCATTACCTGTCTCTGCAACAAAAGACACTGGGAAGTACTTTAAGCACTGACAATCAAAATGCACCGAGGCATTGAGCTGGCCCATGACAAAAGTGGCTTTGTTGTGCAAGTACAGTGAAATATTTTTTGTTTGGTTAGAGTAATCTCAATAATTCCTTTCGGAAATGACTGAGAGCTGAGAAGCAGTTCTGTGTCAGGTTGCACCCTTTTTTCATTTAGAGACAAGAGAAAAAGGGATCTATTTGGTTTTTTTCTGTGAGTGTTTGTTGCTTTTTTCTTTGTCTTGACCAGAAACAGTTGAATTCACTAACTGTATGTAATTTTTATGTTTGTTGAAGTTAGTAAGTGAGAATCAGTCTTTCTCTTGAGTAGATAAACACTGGTTTGCTTGCATTGTTTCTATTTTAAATCAAACAGAAGTGGTAGAGCTAAAATACCAGAATTTCTTGCTTAAATTCCATCTGTCTAAAAGTATTGGATTAAATCTGGAGCCAATTGCTGCTGGTGTACTTAGGCTCCTGAACACGCCAGAGGGCTTGGGGTTTTTTTCCTCTATCATGTCTTGAGATATGTAAGCATGTGTATGTATGTGTGTATTTTTTTAAATTACGAACAATAGTTTGTTGTTTTTTTTTTTTTTTATAAAGAACATGACTGAACTGAGCAGTTGCTAAAGTTGGTAGATAATTTGTGTGGTTACTGTGTGGCCCGGAGGACCTGCAGATTTAGGGTCTTCACTGTGCAATGCCAGAAAGCTTTCCTGCCTCATATTAATCCTTACAACTTCTCAGCCTTCTGTCTTGTCAGCTCTCAAACCAGTCGGTGCAGTGTATGAAAATAGCTTCTCACCTGTTGTTTCCTTGTGAGAATATGCATTGGAGTCGGGCTACTGTAAAAGCCATTCTGCTGTTGTGAGGACTGCCAAATCTCTGGGAGCTGAGCACCTTGTATCATGTCACTGTCTGTTGCCATCTGTTCTTAAAAATAAGTCGGCAATACCTGTTGTGGACAATCTGTTCCTTCTTTGCCTTTTCCTTTCTTCTTTTCTGTCTTGTGTTTGCCTTCCACTTGTCCCCTGTGGTTATACGGCGTTTTGCCATCCAGTGGTGAGGAGCCTGTCATTTCCTGCCCCAGCTCTTTCTGAAACACGGATCTGATAAATACAGATGACTTACTCCAAACTTCAGATTAGGTTCTGAACTTCCTTATTTGTCTTTTAGAAGCAGTTGTGTAATTTCCAGTATTTCTCCTGATTACAGGAGTAAAAACCTGAAGCTTAAATGGCTTGTCATATTTACCTTGTGAGCTTTGCATGTAGTCAGGGTGGTATAAAAACACCTCCAAGTAGCGCTCTGAGGGACTGCTAAAACTGAAATTCTGACTGTGGGCAGAGTTGTGTACTCGGTACCACCTCGTAGCAGTTCTTGATATTTATACTTCAAGATAATTTTACCCCAGACTGTT